GATACAGCCACTTTAGGAAATGGCTTAACCATTCTTAAAAGTTAAAATAAAGTTACCTTTATGACCCAGAAATTTCACTTCTAGATATCTACTCAGGAGAAATGAAAACATATGTCCACACACAGACTTGTATATATGTCAACATTCAGAGCAGAATTATTCATAATAGTCAAAAACTAAAAAACAGTCTGCATGTTCATCTACTGATGAATGGATAAACAAAACTTAGTATATCTGCACAATGGAATATTATTTGTTAATAAACAGGCTACTTCTACACACCACAACATAGATGATTCTGAAAAACAGCATGATAAGCCACATGCATGACACCACATGTTGTATCATCACACTGAATATGAAGTGTCCAGAAAAGGTAAATATATACAGACAGAAAGCTGATTAGTTATTGTCTGGGGCTCAGGGTAAGAGTGGTTGACTAACTAAGGACCTGAAGGGTCTTTCTTAGATGACAAAAATGTTGTAAAACTGGATTGTGGTGATGATCACTCTAAATTTATTTAAAATCCTTAAGTTGTACGCTTAAAAGGGTGAATGTTCTGTTATGTAAATTACACCTCAATAGACTGTTAAAAATGAAATTATGCTAATTAAAACTAAGAAAAGAGAAACCTGGCAGACACTCCCTTAACCAAATGACCAAGATTAACATCCCCAGTGGTAAATCCTATGGATATCATGGATCCCCTGATAGAATGTTACAAGAAGAGCTCTTCATTCATTTGTATTCTTTTCTAAAACTATATTCCCAACCTGATCATGGAAAACATCAGACAAATCCAAATTGAGGAATATCTGACCACCACTCTTCTAAAGTATCATGGTCATAAAAAAATAAATAAATAAAAACAAGAAAAAACTGAGAAGCTGTCACAGATTAGAAAAGATTAGGAGAAAAGGCAACTAAATGCAATGTGGTGTCCAGAATTAGACCCTTGGCACAGAATAAAGATATTAGTGAAAAAAGCAGGTAACATCTGAATAAAGTATATAGTTAATAGTATTGTACCAATGTTAATTTCTTCCTTTGACAAATTTACCATAGTTACATAAGATGTTAATGTTAGGTAGTAAAGAAAATATAGGAATTCTCTGTAGTATCTTTGCAACTTTTCCATAAGCATGACATGACACTGTTCCAAAATAAAAAGTTAAAATTGAAAAAACAAAAAAAAAAAGGAATGGGGATTTATCAGTTCAAGGAGAGTTATGACTTAAATATTATGTGTAGATTTGTTTAGATCCTAATTCAAACTAACCAACCATGAAAATAAAGAACAAAAAGCATTAAAATTCAATCACTTGACCTAAGATATGTAATAAATTAACTAATCACTATTATTTTTGACATGGGATGAGGATATTTGTTATGATTTTCAGAAGCCATTATTGTTTAGTACTACCTACTAACATATTTGTGGATAAAATGATATGATATCTGGAACTGTCATTAAAATGAGCTGATAGAAGAAAAAGTGGGTGAGTATAGATAAAAAAAGATGGACCGTGGGTGATGAGTAAGTACATGGTAGCTCATTTTACTAAGCTCTCTACTCTTGCATGTGCTTGAGATTTTCCATAATAAAAATTTTTTAAGTGAAAAGAAAAAAAAAAGACTAAGAGAAATAATTAAAATATTATAATTTTCCTCTACACTGACCACAGACAGGGCTTGTCTCCTAAAAATCATCTGAGCAGTATCAGAATGGATAAATCATAGAGCGGTGAGTGAACTCTCAAAAACAATCTGAGCAAGATACGATCGATGCTGAATTGGGAGAACATTAAGAGAAATGCCTGAAATAGCATAGACCTCCTAAACTGGAGTGCTTTGTTGTTCTTTTCTTGAAGTTTTGTGACCTGGTGATGCCTGAAACTTCTATGCATGTGAAGATTTTTTTAAAAAGTAGAGTGTGGTCAGAAGCAGCCCTTTGTTACTAGTCAGTGTTAAGATCTTTAGTTCCTCATCCCCCTTCAGTTTTCTTTATTGTCTGGGGCTTTGTTTTTTGGACTTGTGAGTTATACGATAGGTTACTGTAATATAATGCATTTGCTACTTCTCTGGAAAGCCATTCAGAATCTCTAACTAGTGCAGAATGCACAACTCTTTTGCTAAAGGGTCTCTGCCAAGAGACGCATTCTTCCGGGCTTTGTAATTTGCATTGATTACTGACTGAGCTGTTTCCCAGTGCATCATTGGGTGTTGACTGTAATCTATAAAGCCTTACATAGTTTTGTCCTGATTAAAGAAGTCTAACACTGGTGGTCAATTTTAATAATGACCGAGATCGATCTTGGTGACTTAAAAAAACCTTAACAGATTTTAGATCCTGAAATGTCAAGAGCAGGTTATTCTTATTGTTCACACATACTCTGGAAATCTACCATTTTAAAGGTGAGTATAGTGTACAGTACTGAACTTGAAAAAAAAACCCAGGAAGTTGTAAAGTAGATAGTAGTGCCAAAAATGTTCTAGCCCTGACTTTTGGTCCTTAATCTAATCCGACATGCCTTCAGAATATTTCACTTCCTTGATGACCATTTTCCCAGTTTCTATCCAATACTTAACCCCACTACATAGTGACAGAGTTAATGATTATCTCATGAGGCAGATATGAATAGGAACAGTATTCATATCAAAGACAACTGGTCCCACTTCCAGGTCCATCTTTGGGCCAAGATATGTAGTCGCCAACAGTGAGTTGGCGACTGTATTTTTTGAGTCCTGGCGCAAAGTAAGATCCATCTGTTTTGCCCAGCCGTTTGCCTGAGTGCCACAAAATGGTCCTGTTATTAGTTTTATTTGTGGTCCTATTTGAGGTTAGGGGATAATATAAATAAACTTTAGTCTTCCTTGTGATGAATGTAGCATGGGAATTAAAAGTGGTGGTGTTGGTAGTGGTAAGTGATGTTGCGTCTCTGTTTTCTCAATTGCTCTGTTTTCTTTGGATTGGGAAGCAGACATTTAAGAATGAGTTTGTCATCTGGAAGGATAGTTGTGACCAAGTTTCCCTCAACAGGATACAAGATGTTATTTTTGAGCTTCATTACCCTCACCGAGGGGGAAAAAAAGAGAGGGGGAAAAATAAGGAAGAAAGTGAAAGTAAGGAAGAAACATGCAGAAACAGAAGTGAAGAGAAAGGTCAAAGAGGAGGAATACATGAGGAAGGAGGAGAATGTAACATAGCAGACCCCGTGTTCATAGAAATCACTTTCTTATTTTGAACTGATAGTTCAGTTGACTCAACATCTGGTGAATTGAGGAAAAGGAAATCTGACTGATTAAATTGAACTGCTGTTTGTCAGTTAAATAGTTTATACATAAATATGCAGCCTAGTTTCCATCACATTTTCTTGTATGAACTAGTGAATCAGGTTTTCACTAACCTTGTTTAAGCGGTGAGTAGAACAATACCAATCAGTAATTCAGATTTATATAGAGGTGGGCAGTTTCTATATTTCTGAATCATTTATCGAGGATTATTGTTATTCCATATAATTCTGAGCATGAGTTATTTTTGTCAGTTTCTTTTATGAATGTTTTGTTGCCTTATAAGGAAATATGTGCACTCCCCTTCTCTCATTCAGTTGTCCCTGGTGACGCCTCCATAATTTCTGTCTTTACACTGGTGCGTTTTTAGTCTAATTCAGGCATGTGAGAAGCAGGGGAAAAGTTTAGTTAGTCAATGTCAGTGATTTTTTTTCTGATCCATTCATGGATGGATTTCGTGAATCTGAACCAGTTTGCATTTAAAATCTATATATATCAAGTAGACACAATACCTAAAATATTCCTCCATATACTTCAAGGGAAAAGGAAAATAGAATTCACGAGTCGGAACTAGATGCAATTTCTAATAATAGATGCAATTTCAGGGTGATTTATGATCACGCTATCATATGGGGAGATACTAAAATATTACCTTGCACTAATGTGAGAGTGGACATAAACATATAACATTTAGTACTACAAATATGCAAAAAATGTACTGCTGTGCTGTGCAGTAAGCTGAAGATAATTGTATTATTTTCATTTTACACTAAGAAAGCTATATTTTTCTAAATCCTGTAGTGTCAGTTATCTAAAGCTAAAAATAGGGATGACTTAATCTAGTCTGTGTCTTTTTTTTTTTTTTTAAACTGTTATCTTATTTAGAGATGGTGTCGAATGAAGAAAGAAAGGATTGAAAAAAAATAGTGTGACATTCTAAGCCCAAACATTTATGACGTAGTTGGAGATTTTAATTCCTGGACTCTTAACTGAAGATTGAAAATACACGTTAAGAAATGCAGTTCAGTTATTTAAACCAAGAAGTCTGGTTCAAATCCTGAGTCTTCAAGACCCTTGCTGCTTCCCAGAGCAGTGGCTGTGTGTGATGAGATATATGTATAGATGATGTGGTATACAGCATGCCAAGCCCACAAGACACTGCAGTGGGCATTTTGTATTGCTAAATATGTTCATTTACCTCTACTTCACCATCTGCCCCACCACCAGTTCAGTCCCTTGAAAGTAGTAGATCTAACATTTTTTTTTTTTCCAATTCTATGTGAAGTCCTAATTTCCCTTAAATATGTGTATTCGGATAATAGATTTTCTTCTTTATTCTCTAAAATTAACATTTTATGTAATCTTTAGGCTGTGTAATTGTTGTTTAGGAGTATTTTTTTTTTTAAATCAGATAGAATTTAGCTAAAATTCAGAGGCTCTGAGCTTCTAGTCATATCATTATAAAGTCCTGAACAGGGAGGCATATTTTGTTTTTCAGAATTGCTTTTTTTTTCCTCTTTAGATCCTTTTCTTTTCATTAAAAAACTACTCTGGAAAGAGGGTTTTTTTTTTCCTTAACAGAAAAAAAAAGCCACGCTTGACTGATAATGCATTGCTTTGGATGGTGAAACATTATGAAAGTTTAATTTTTAATTAAATCTGAAATACCAATTATAACTGAAAGAGATTTTAACCTGTTTCTTTTCAGACTGCCTGAAGTTACATTTAGAGACTAAAATCACTGCACCTTAAAAACAAAAGATTGAGCTGCACTGCATTCCTGTAAGTGAAAGCTTCCTGTACCTTCTTTCTCTGTGATTTTGTGACCAACCCAAGAAAAGACAAAAACATTGGTAACATAGTAACCAAGCATGAGTAAAAATTTGAATATCCCTGAAGAAATATATGTTTAAATGATTTCCTTCTATAAAAAAAGGAAATTTGCTGGGCACAATATTCAGTATGTCTTTTTTATTCAACCTAAATTGTGAATCCTTTTTTTTTTTTCTTTTTTTTCTTTTTTTTCTTTGCCTGGTTTGAATTGCATTAGGGAGGGTGTCACCCACTGTGCATCCGCACAGTGACATACACCCTGACAGGAAGGATTCTCACATTTTTATTTAAGTCTCATTGAAGGTAATAGATTTCTTATGGAATCAGAGTAGATTCCTTTTTCCTTTGTGATGTCATTAGAAATTTTTAGCCTTTGTGTCAATGGAAAGGGAGAGAAAAAAAGTTCATGATGACATCACAAGATTCTGTTGCCTTGAGGACTTTGGGCAAAACTAAGTAAAATGCATAATTCCCTTGTGTGCGTGTGTTCCCCATTCTGCTATGAAGCAGTCAAAATAGCACATCTTATGTCTTCCCGTGAGCTACAAGGCTGTCTCTCAGAGCCCCATTGTTCCATAAATGCATGTCAGAGTCTACCACAGTCTGGTCTACCCTTATTTAGCTGCTGTTTTGTCAATGTACTTGGAAGAACAATTAACACTTGGGATTTCAATGTCTGAATAACAGGCAGTGAATAGAACCCGAGCATATAAAAGATTCAGATGCCCAGGGTAAGAAAACAGAAGCTTATAGTTGGTGGGGGAAAAAGCAAAGCATTTTAATGCTGCACTCAAAGGTTGTGTAATACTACAAGAAAAGTCAATCTTTTTTTTTTTAATTTTAGATGAAAATGTACATTTTGGTAATGAAATCCAGAAGGTTATGATGTCTTCCTAAGTTTTGCAGTTAATGTGTTGCAAGGTCTTTCCTTAGAGAGTCTCAAAACACTTCAATAGCATTCATCTCCTTGAGTCATTGTTGGAATGCCGGATGCGGGGTTCACAGCACTGTGGTTTTCAGAGTGCCATCGTGTCTGTCCAACAGTGGACAGACTGAAGCACTAAAGGTGATTCAGTTTCTTCCATTTTCACTTTGGTTCACTGCACCCTTTCATTATTGGCTATAGTTCTTAGGTGTTGACTATAGAGTGTCCAGAAGTTGTTGAAATATTTCTACCTATGGTCTGAATTTCTGCTATGTCCATTTTTTAGTGGGAAGAGAGAGATGATGCATGGACAGGGCAAGATCATCTCACAATCAGGGCATCTGATGAATGGAAAGGGGGCTTGGATGGACAGCTTATGCATGTTGCCCACTGAGCACAGTGCTTGGCTGGTATGAGTGATAAATGATGCTTATTATTATTTTTGTCATAACTACAACAGTTCAAAGCCATAGACAGGAAGGTCTCCAAAAGTAGGATGTGTTTCTTACTCATTTTTGTAATCTCCAGTGCTTGGCATAATAATAGTAATCAAGAAGTAGCTACTGTTATTAATACAATTACAAAATTTATTAGTAGTCAGAACTTTAGGATGCATTCTTTGAGAGGGTATTATTCAGGGGAAAGAGGTTGAAGAAAGTTTTTGACAGGAAGACAGTTTTAAAAGAATTTGTCAAAGGCAAATGAGCTGTTCATCATATCACATCAGGCATCGGTCTCTCAGTCTTTCTCCTCATTGATTTTACACTTCTCTCTCTCTCATCACCAAGATGAAGGGCCCATTCATACTATATCCTTTTTTCTGTGAAATGGTTTCCAGGAATTTTCCATTTAGGTTGTATGTCTCACATTCCATACAGCGGAGTTGTCTCCAAAGATAAATCTACCTGACTCCAGGATAGACTCTTCACCTATGGGTCTAATTGCCATGCAGTGAATTGTGCTTCAAGGAAATGGGCACACGGTATGATAGGTATGGTGTTAACAGGCCACAGGTTAGGGAAATTGCCATTAGAAACTTCAACTCTCAGTGCATAAACAGCCAGGACAAGTTCCTCAGCACTAACAAGACCACAGTATTTTTTAGAATTCAGAATCATTTGACCCCCTTCTAAATTTAGCTTCCTGAGTTTGTTTGTTTATTTGTGTGTCTTCTTTGCATAAAGTTCTTTGCTCTCCCCCACCAACTTTAATTTATTTCCAAAAGGGGTCCCTTTATTTTTATTAAATCAGCTACTGGTGATGCAAATTAAGGCTTTCATAAAACGTGGCCTCTAAGGCAAAACTAAAATGATAAAATTTAGGCTTAGTGAATTGTACTGTTATTGTGTTGAATAGCATTTAAAGACATCAAAGAACTTTATAAACACATTTCACATTTTTTAAGATTAATAATTGAGGTGAAAGGGATTTAAAGGTAGAGCTTCATCAGACATTACAGGTTGAAAGTCTGTTAAGTAGAAGTTCAATAGTCTCATTTTGAAATAAGTAAATTGAGGCCCAGGGTAGGGCATGCAAATTACCCAAACCATAATGACCACCAATGCAGATCATCCTTTAGACATCTAGGCCTGAGAGTAAACTTGAATTGAGACTCTGGGGCTTTGATCTTTCCTCTGTACTCAGTGCCTGAGCAGTGTTTCCTGAGGAACAAATTGCCTAGACTTCATTTTATGAGACCCATTGAACTGTTAGTCCCCTCCACTGACCAGCCCAAAATTAGTATATAAGGGGTATTCTGAAAACATTCATTGTTATCAAAAAGAGGTTTTTTTTTTCCATTTTTAAAATATATTTTAATATCATGCCTCTGGTTGTGCAGTGAATCACATGGAAGCAAATTTATTTGGTTGACTTCATATTCTTTATGATGATTTACAAATTGGACAGAAGACCATTAGAAACTTCAGTAGTTTAATTGCGCTGATAGGCATGATAAAACCAGTAATCTGAAAAGAGCCATTGTGACATGGAATTCAGACTTCCCAAGAGTGTGCATCACGCATGGTGTCAGAATGTCACTGTTGCCAGGGGTCATTTCTGTCAGAGAAAAGTTTTTCAGGGTCTGAAAAAAAATGAAAAAAACTTTAATAATTTAAAATGAATTACTTGCCTTAGTAATTTATTTCAGGTTGCCTTTATTGGATTCTGTCATTTAGCAATCCAAAGAGACCAGTGTAGGAACTTTTCTATTATTTTACCCAGAGCTAAGTCGTAGATATATCTTACTTTCTTCCTCAGATTTATTTTATACCTTCCAAACCTTCCCTTCCCCACTGTGAAGAAGCTCAGGTTTCTATGGACAAAATATTAGTGGCTTATGTCTTTGTGCTCTGAATGAGGAGATGGTGTTCTGCCTTAAAAAAATCAGTGGAAGCTTTGGCATTTAGAGAAGGAAGAATTGAAGCATTCATGAGGATCCCTTGACAGGGCCTTGGATATAAGTGCCCAACAAGTTCTCTCCTCAGACAGCTTCTCTCTTTTCTCTATAATAATAAATTAAAATTTATTCTATGCCTCTTATGAACAAGTCATTTTACCAAGGTAAATAACATATAGTTCCTGTCATCAAGGAGTGCATAGTCTGGGCAATAGATACATCTCTCTCCTTCTCTTTCTTTCTTTTTTTTTAATAGTTTATTGTCAAGTTGGTTTCCATATAACACCCAGTGCTCATCCCCACAACATCTTTCTTAAAGACAGAATGTTATACAGATACAGTAGAGTAAATAAACAGTTATCATTTCTTTTGGACCATCAAGAAAATGTAGGATATTAACAAGTAGCCCAAGTAGAGGAAGTGACAAAAATGCAGGTTGAGGGAACAGTGTATAGTAATGGTGAGATCTGAGTATAGGATGCTGGTTGGAACCAGTGTTTTCCAAAGTGTGGGTTGCAAGTCATTCATATGTCATGAAATCAGTTTAGAAGATCACAGTCAATATGCTTTTAATGAAATAGTATCACAGGGAAAAATTTATAAGAAGTGTATTACAAATTTTTAAGATAATGGATTGTAAAATAAATATATTTCTTACTGGGAATCATGCCACCAAAATATGAAAGCATATCTTAAAAAGATAGGTCCTTTTAAATACTTAAATCCTGTAATCCTAACTAAAGAATAATATTATTTTCCCCCCTCTGTATATATGAGAAAGTGGAGGGATTAAACAATTTGTCCCAGGTCATATAGCAGGTAATGTAAAGGACAGAATGTGAATATATCTGTCAAAACCCACATTCATAGTCTTCCCATAATTTGACACTGCTTTTCAGGGTTGCATGACTTCAGTCATTTCACTACTGATAACTCACATTTATATCTCTAGTCCTGATATCTCTCCCAGATTCCAGTCTGTATTTCCAGTGTCCTTATGTAAATCTCAGAGTCAGTATATCAAAATTGAATTTATCCTCCTACTTAAAAATCATCCTCCTTTTGACTATGTTATTTTTTTAAATCTCAACTGTCCAGGTCATCTTGACTCAAAATCTATCATTCTTGCTTTCCTCCTTCCCCCGGGTGTCCAGTAAGTGGCCAAGTCTTACTAATTCTCCTTTCTTGGTACCTCTGTCTTAGGCTTTCATTTTCTCTTGACTGCAGTGATCTCCTAATTGAGAGAGACAATAGAAGGGAGACCAGCTCATCCTAAACACTGCTGCCTCATTAGGTTTTCTGAAGCAGGAGCTGTAAGATTATGTCACCGGTGTTCACACACAACTTTAGTAATTCTAGATTAATTACCAAACAACTTCTAACCAATATTCATGACCATCTAAAATCTAATTCTAACCTCATTTCTGACTTAATCTTGTGGTTTAATATACCACACACTCGGGCCAAATTTCCTCACTGTCCACCCCCCCCCCCCTTTTATTAATATTGTTCCTGCCATCTGGAATGGCCATTATTCTGTTTTTCCATGTGCAAATCTAACCCATCCTTCCGGGTCTATTTTAAATACTATTAATTCCATGAAACCTTCCCTCCTTGACCTAGCCA